AATTTAAAAAAAACTTTAAATTTTTATAGAAAAAAAATGTTTCCATTTCCCAACTCTTAGGGGCAGAATTTTTAGGAACCAATTAAATTCATGAAGTGAAGGATGGGTGAATTGTAAAGAAAAAAAATAGTATCTTAACTTTTTTTAAAGATTTTATTTATTTATTTGTTAAAGAGAGCGCACAAGCAGGGGAGTGGCAGACAGAAGGAGAAGCAGGCCCCCGCTGAGCAAGGAGCATGATGGGGAACTTGATCCCAGGACCCTGGTATCATGACCTGAGCTGAATGCAGCCGCTTAACCAACTGAGCCACCCAGGCATCCCGTAACCTAAATTTTAAAGAAAACAGTTATTTAATGACCCCCGTTAAAGCACAATAAGGCAGACTTTCTTCAAGGGGAGGGGCTGTTGCAATAGGATCACAGCAATGGGATCTTGTGGGGGACTGGCAGGGGATTAGACTCAGCTCTGAACACAGCAGGGGCAAGTGGGACTTTATAACCAAGGAGCAGGGGATGGGGGTGCAGCGGGTGGGACTTTACTAAGAGGTAACATCAGGGATAAGGGGGATCCTGGCTAACCTGACCTGACAAGATTCTTGCTGAAGGCAGGCCAGGGTGATCAGACATCACCCGGAGAGTGGGGGGTGGGGGGTGGAGGATGAGGAACCTGATCAGACGTGGAGAGCAAGCAGCTATGAAAGGTGGGTTAACTGTCCAATTAAACTGACTTAGGAGGATACTTGCCAAAACTGGGCAAAACAGACATGAACACAGAAGTCCAAAACTCAGGCTTCGTAGGAAGAGTGCATGGGAGCCTAGGTCGAGTCCAGCCAATGAGAGAATCTCCATCAGTATATAAAAATGTGATGGTGAGGATGCTTCAGGCACCAAGAGCAGAGAGCGCCCTCTCTCTCCGACACTCCCCAGGCTGGGATTAAAAACAAGGAACCAAAGTGTCTGTTTCTATTCCAGGCACCATGTGTGGAGTTCAGCTCTGCTACTCTGCTGTTTGTTCCGTTTTCCACCATATATTGGCATCACCCTCAGGCTGGCGCCAAGATGGCTGCTGCATTCCAGCCATTGCAACCAGACCCAGACCTGGAAAAACAGACCACCTTGTGCTGCGTGAACTTTCCCAGCAGCCTTCTCTCAGCTGTCATTGGCCAGCATCGCCCACTGCTCATCCCTAGCCAAAAGGAGGAGACTGCCAGGGAGGCTTGGACCAATCAGGACCTGTCCTCTGGGGCTGGGGAAAAACCCAGAGGAAGGCTGCCGAACGGAGGACGGAAGCCTGGACCTCTGGTATTTATTAGCGGTGACTCTCTCTGGGTGGTTGGAAGGTGGGTGAATTTTACTCTCTTCTTTTGGAGATCATCCTGTCTAAATTTCCTGTATTACACCTTGACTTTTCTTTTAATAATGTGAAAGGAATCAAAGTCATTATTTGAGATAGAGACAGACAGAAAGAGAGAGAAGCTTCAGCACCTGGAAAATTCAGAATAACTGGCTTTGCTTTATACGCTGCCTAGCACTGCTTACAGAGCCTTTGCTCCAGGGGGTTAGTGGTGATAAAGTATCAGAATCCCTCTGATCCCCTAAACTCCACTGCTGCTGCACAACCAAATTCCTACCAGAATGAGGCTGGTTTGGGCAATTTTGTTGCAGCCCAAACTTGGAACTGTCTCCCCTAGGCGGCTCCACTTGGAAACAATGGCTGGGTTTGCAAAAATCTCTCTCTCTCTCAAGCAGATAGAGGAAATTTCCAAACTGCAGCCAGAAGGACTGAAGGTAAATCCCTGTGAACACTGCAGTAAACATTGTACAAAACCTTATAGACATTAGGGACTTTTCAGGAGGTGGGGGATCAGTAACCCCTCCAGAGAAAATGCACTTCCCTTGAGCAGGGTCCCAGAGGGGCAGGGAGAATTCAGGAGGTAGCTCAGGTCCAAAGACAAAGTCAACACTACCACCAGGAGACAGCTGTTGGGGCATGAGCATCTCCTTACCACTCCCAGCAGCCCCGTGAGGTGGGGATGCTTGTCCCCATTCTCCAGAGGAGAGGTGAAGTCATTTGCTACCAAGATCCCACAGCCAAGTGGTAGCAGAGGCAGGCTGAGAGTGAGGCTCACCAGCTCGCCGCACGGCTGGGCTGGACTCTGCAATTGTTCAGCCCGCGTGGGCCACGTCACCCCACCCCAAGGTGGATCAAAGTCAAGACTTCTCTCTCACTCCAACCTGGGGACCCTGGTAAATGCCATCACCTCCGGCAATCTGGTGACATACACAGGCAAACTGCTACTGAGTTATGACACCCCAACCTAGCGTTCTTCCCATAGACCCGGAAACCTCCCCTGGCGCTGCCCCCCTTCAGATCCGTAGACAAGCGCTGTCCAACAGAGATTTCCGTGATGGTGAAGGAAATGTTCTGTAGCTGCGCTATCAAATGTGATAGCCACATGGGATAATTGATTAACTTGAAAGTGACCAGGTCGAGAAACTAATTTTGTTTGTTTGTTTGTTTGTTTTAAAGATTTTATTTATTTGAGAGAGAGAATAAGAAAGAGAGAGCACATGAGAGGGCGGAGGGTCAGAGG